CTTCGTAAACAAGTATTGAATCCAAGTTACATACATGGTATGCTATAGCAAATTAAGATTATCTATACATTCTCTTAAAATTACACTCAGTGAACTTACAAATTCTAAGATACTGAAAGTTACAGTTCCAACAAAAGCTTTAAAGGTAATGAACAAAACCAAAGAAAGGGAGGGAAGAACTCAGAGAGTTAAACACCTCGCCATTTGTGACCTCTGTGGGAAGTAGTTTACTTCTTAATCCTCAAGCACAAAGTGTCTGTCCCTGGGCTGCTCTAGTTTGCTCTCCTGTTTCCTGTCAGTCAGGTGGTCTGTCGGACCCAGGGCAGAGACTTGGGAGGATAGTTTTAAACAGACATTCTTGGGCCGGGCGGTGGTGGCGCATGCCTTTAATCCCAGCACTCGGGAGGCAGAGCCAGGCGGATCTTTGTGAGTTCGAGGCCAGCCTGGTCTACAGAGTGAGATCCAGGAAAGGCGCAAAGCTACACAGAGAAACCCTGTCTTGGGGAAAAAAAAAAAAAAAGAAAGAAAACACCCAAAAAGCAGACATTCTTGGATCTGGGTTGGATAGGCCAAATCCACCTCCAGAGCCAGCCCTCTCAGTCGAAGAGAACGGCATGAAACAGTTTTTTGAGAGAATCCCCCCCCCCCCCCAAAAAAAAAAAGACATTTGAATCACTGTAGGCTGAACCCAGTGATCTGAGTATCTGTAACCAGTTTGTTTTTGTCTGTAGATGGGAGCACACAACTGGAAATGCTTTACCTTTTAGCTATTAAAAATACAAGCAGAATCTTCCAGGCTTGGAGAGGCAGACACACAAGTAGGCCAAAAGCATAAGGCCAAGGAGTTTTATTAAGATGCAAGTTTGGGGGCCTAGCATATACAGCAGCAGGCATTTTGGCTCCGGGTGTGGTTGTAAACCAGAGCCTTAAGAAAAATGAAAGTGAACTGTGACTTATATGGGGGAGGGGTCTCAGACCAACCATTCTGTTTTACGGAGTCATCTAAATCAGTTTAGGTAATCGAAAGTTCCACGTTGGGGCCATCAGTGGCCTTTTGTCCAGTGTATATTGAAGCCAGATTTGCATTTGAAAGGTTTTAATTCTAATTGGAGCTCCTTTAAGTTGACCCTCAAACAGGCCAAAGAAGTTTTTTTGGTACAGAAAATTTAGAACCCATGGCTGCACTCAGGACCAAGGGACAGACAGACTGGGTTCAGTGCCCAGTTGTTCATAGCATCCTTTAAGTCTGGAAATGACCAAATGCACCTGGGAAGTAAGGGAGTGTCTCCACCCTAGACAACTCCAGGTTAAGGAGCTGCAGGGCCAGTGTGGAAGGTTGTCAGCTTTTTGGCTGGTGGAGTAGTAGGCCAGTGGAGAATTCAGAATTCTCCGCTAAACTTGCTTCCAGCTGGTAGGAAGGCTCTAGTGCCTTTGACCAAGTGGACCTTAAGAAAGCTCCAGTGAGCCCAGAACCTAAGTAGGGTACCTCTGAGTCAGGGCCATGATTACCTTGTCCCAGCATTTTGCTAGATTATACATGTTCTGGCCGAATGCAGTGTGGCCTGCCACCTAGGCCAGACTGTCATGATGAGATCAAGGGCAGAGACACAGTGAAAAGAAAGGGCCGTGGGAGAGAAAAGGGTGGTCCTGCCTGGCCTGCTCCCAGCCTGGAAGTGAAGGAGAGAGCCAAGGAGGCTTGTCCGTGAGTGGACCTGAGCCGCCAGTAGTCAGAGATTTACAATTCCAGGTCTCTGGCACCATGTGTTAGATTATTAAAAGGCAGCTGTGAAGAGACAGAAAGGGGTTTGGTTTGCCCTTAGGCTGGGACCCTGTTGATTCACTGTGGGGGGCACTTTCTCACTCAGCGTGTATGCATGACCAAGATGCCTAAAGAAGAAAATGTCATGTGGCCCCTTATAGGGGCAGAAGTGACTTCTGTAGTCCGCAAGGGAAGCTAGAAAATGTAGTCTTTCAGCAGGAAACTATTAACCCAGGCAACTTATAAGAGAACATATTTAATTGGAGGCTTGTTTACAGTTTCAGAGAGTTAGTCCATGATCATCTTGGTGAGAAGCATGGTAGCAGGCAGGCAGGCATGGCATTAGAGCAGTAGCTGAGAACTTAGCTTATACCTTATCTAAAAGGTGGAGGCAGAGGGAAACTCTCTGGTATAGGCTTCTGCAACCTCAAAGTCCACCCCCAGTTATATACCTCCAACAAGGCCATACCTCCTAACCCTTCCTAAAACACTTCTACCGACTAGGGAACCAAGTATTCAAATATATGATCCCATGTGGCCATTCTTATTCAGACCACCATAGTCATTACATTTTAAAAGTTGATTAAATTCATGTTTTGATGATTCCTTAATTTTGGTCTTTTGAGATGGGGGCACATGTAGACTGCTCTGGAATTCAATATATAGCCAAATCTAGCCTTGAACTTCTAATCTTCCTGCCCCCATCTCCTAAGTGTTAGGATTATAAGGAGATGTGCCACACTTCCCAGTTTAATTTTCCTGTGGCTAATAAAACAGGATAAACTATCTCTTTTCTGCAATTTCTCTAAAAATTACAGAAATGATTCTGTATACTAAGATGTATAAAAGCTACATGTTTAGAAAAAATGGGACATATTCAAAGGGAAGATTGGTTGCAAGCCCTATGGTCTTGTTGCAATCAGGTACCATTAAAATAGTGATACAAGTTTTCATGGATGGAAAAGTTTTAGTTATTTCATTTCTTTTTTTTTAGGGGAAGGCATTAGGGTTTTTTGTTTGTTTTGTTTTGTTTTGTTTTGTTTTGAGACAGATCTCACAGTGTAGCCTAGGCTGACCTAGAACTCACTATGTGGTCCAGCCTGTGCTTTCTTGAAACTTATTTCTCTGTCTTGTATTTTCTGTAAATTTAAAAAATTGAAACCGGGCAGTGGTGGCGCACGCCTTTAACCCCAGTATTTGGGGGACAGAAGCAGGCCGATCTCTCTTAATTCAAGGCCAGCCTGTTCTACAGAGTGAGTTCCAGGACAGCCAGGGCTACGCAGAGAAACCTTGTCTCAAAAAAACAAAAAAAAGAAAAGAAAAGAAAAAAAAATTTTTTTTAATTGAATAAGTTTAGGGAAAGATAAGGCTTCATGAGTCATCAATGCTGGTGGTCTTTCCCACAGTGAGTGATGTTAAGTTTAACCCCTTGAAAAGGCGGCTACCAGAGTGAAGGTTAGCTCTTTTGTAAAGTGGCAATCTTCAGGGTGATAGTTTATATTTGGTGAATGACTTAATTGACCACAAAGACTGGAAATTTTTTTGTCTATATGTTATCTTTTTATTGTTCGTGCTTATGGCCTTTAAAAAACTGCATTATTTCAATTCTTTATGGAAGTGTAGGACACTGCTTATGACAATCAGAGGGTACCTTTTTGGGAGTTGGCTTTCTCCTTCTACCATGGGTTCCTAGGATTGAACTTAGGCTGTCGGGGTTGGCAGCAGGTGTCTACTGACTGAGCCATGTCATCAGCCTAGCTTTAGGACTTCTGAGTCCTTAGTTTTTCTTCTTAATATAAATTGTATCAGGAAAGCATCCAATAATTCAGTATCCACAACAGATACAAATAAAAGCAACAGATACAAGTTGAGGATATTCTCAAGATTTTAGGAAATAGGAGTTTAATGTAGATGCTGGTGCCCCAGGCATCTAAGCAGTGTTTATTAGAAATAACATTGCCAGGCGGTGGTGCACGCCTTTAATTTCAGTACTTCATAGTCAAAGGCAGGCGGATCTCTGAGTTTGAGGTCAATTGAGGTCAGCCTGGTCCACAGAGTGAGTTCTAGAACAGCCTGGTAGAGATTGAGTTCTAGGACAGTCAAGGCTACACAGAGAGAAACCCTGTCTCAAAAAACGAAAAAAAAAACATTAAAAAAAAAAAAAAAAAAAAAAAAAACCAAAAAAAGAAACATTAGTGCTGTTACTTGTCTACTACCAAATATTTCCCCTTACATATTCATAAAAGTACAGTAAGATGTATGAGTGTCATTCCAAATTTTTTTTATTTGCTTGCTTGTTTTGCAGTGTAGGGATTATATATGTTCTGTAGTGTATGACCAAGAATCTCTTGGTCATACTGGGCACTGAGCTGTTTCCCGAGGCTCATGCAGCAGTATTTTTAATTTTTAAAAAAGATTTAGTTTTGTTTTATTTGTATGATTGTTTTGCCTGCATGTATGTATATGTACCACATGTGTGCCTGGTTCCTGAGGAAGGCATAGGATCCCCAGTAGCTGGAGTTAACAGACAATTGTAATCTGCTCTCTTAGTGCTAGGAACTGAGCCCAAGTTCTCTAGAAGGGCATCAAATGTTCTTAAATGATGAGACATCTCTCCAGCCCCCAAGCACAATTATTTTTAAGAGGGGGAAAACAACATAAAAAATTAAATATCATTTTGCAGTCAAAAAATGATGGGGGCTGATGAGATGGCTTAAGCTGGATAAGCCTGATGATCTGAGTTCAGTCCTCACACGTCAAATAAAGTGGAACAGCTGCCTAGTTTTCCTCTGACTACTGCATGCACGCACGCAGTGATAGCGCTCTCTGTCTCTGTCTCTAGTGATGGCATATTAGGGACATCATCAACTCAGGTTGTCCTTGTTAGATGTTTTGTACGGTGGTGTTTTCATTTCCTAGGTGCTGTAGTTTATCTCAGAGTATCCTTTTGGGGTTTGTTTTCCTCTTACGTTTTCATTGTATATAAAATAGAGAAAGAAAAAAAAAACTAAATCCCATGTCTTTATTGTGCTGTTGCTCAATTTTAGAATAAATAGGGTTTTGATGCCGAAGCTTTAGTATCATTTAGGGTTGACCAGTCTCATGAGAGTCTAGTGTAATCACGTAAGAGAAGAAACATTGGAAGTAAGAAAAACAATGGTAGTATCCTAGCTATAGTGGAGTTCTGGAAATAGAAATGTTTGTCACCTTTAATGTCTATATGTTTTATTCTTTTGAACAGTTCGTTTTCCTGAAGATCTTGAGAACGACATTAGAACTTTCTTTCCTGAATATACCCATCAGCTCTTTGGAGATGAGTAAGTAACATGAAATATTTACCAAATTAATGTGGCAAAAAGCAAGAAACTTTTCTTTTAGGATTTGTAAGTCAGATTTATTTTTTTACTCTTTTTTTCATGTAGTTGATCCTAAAATGTCTATTAGAATGATAGTTTATTCATTGAGCACTATGGCTGTAATGCCTACTGTTTACTACTACAAACATGTATGTTTTCATTCTCACCTCAGTATTAACTGTTATATTTGCTACTTTGTGTATTGACGGAATTGAACAGTTGCTAAGGGCATAAAAATGGCTGGAGTTCAGATTCAGACAATCCAGAGTTCATATTAACCATTACTATTTTTTAGTATTACCTACCTCTTGTCATACTGCTTCCAGTATAGCATAGCTCTGAAAATTTACAAAGTTCCAGATATTACTCAATAATTAAATAAGCAATTCAAGAAATTGTATGTGTGTGTGTGTGTGTGTGTGTGCACATAACACTCATGTACATAGGAGTACACAGAAAGCAGAGGGAGATGTTGGTGTGCTACTCTGTCAATCTCTCCCTCATTCCTTTGAGACGGGGTCTCTAATGAAACCCTGAGCTAGGTCATTGGCAGCGAGCGCCAGCTCTTCTCCTTTCTCCACTCCTACAGCACTGGAGCTGCAGGCACATGCATGGAGACTTGGCTTTTTATGTGGGGGCTGCGATTTCAGCATAGCTTGTTAAGATTAGGTAGCAAGTGCTCTTTCCCATTAAGCCATCTTCCCAGACCCTAAAACAACTTTAAAGATATGTCCTGGGATATTCAACACATTCTTTGATTCCCTCAGCCGTATATACATTGTTAATATAGTCAGTCATTATTTTTTTCTTCCTTATTTAAAAAGTTGCAATAATTTAATGGACACTATTCTCTTCATTTGGATTCAGCTCTTCACTAGTTTTTGTTTTGTTTTGAGGTAGAATCTCATGTAGTTCATGTTGTCTTCAAACTCACTCTGTAGTAGAGGCTGGCCTTGAACTCATTGTCCAGCTACCTTTGCCTGTCTCCCAAGTGCTGGTTATAATGGCATGCACCACCATGCCAGCTAGACTTTAATTCTTAGCCAAAGTTGCTTCATTAATTTTCTTTTAGTACATATCACTGTATTATTGTTGAATTGTTTGAAGGTAGGTTGCAGGTTTGATCCTGAATTTTTAAAAATATTTTAGGGCCAGGTGTGGCAGCGCATGCCTTTTAATCCTAGGACTCAGGTGACAGAAGTAGGAAGATTTTTGTGAGTTCAAGGTCAGCCTAGTCTACATAGTGAGTACCAGAATATCCAGGGCTACATAGAACTTGTCTCAAAATTTTTAAAAATTACATATACATACATATATATGTATATATATATATATATTATTTTTGATTATGTGTACATGTATAGGTATGTGTACATGAATGCATTGTTCATGGAGGACAGAAGAGGGCATCTGATCCCTGGAGCTGGGGTTACAGGCATTCATGAGTCACCTGAAGTAGGTACTGGGAACCAAACTTGGGTCCTCTGGAAGAGCAGTGTGTGCTCTTAACAATGGAGCCATCTCTCCAGCCTCTTGATCCTGAATTCTGAGACTTAGCCTAAATATAGTATGCATCTCCTAAAAGAATGATAGCCACCACTGCCTGGCTTAAAATATTTTTGTTCATGACATTTTCTTCTATATATCATTGACATTTATTTGATGCGTTCATTTTATTCAATTCTTTTCATTGTTTTGTCTTTTAAGACAGGGTTTCTTCCTGTAGTCCTGGCTATCCTGGAACTAGCTATGTAGACCAGGCTAGCCTTGAACTCAAGAGATCACCTGTCTGCCTCTCCAGGGCTGGGATTAAAGGCGTGTGTTGCCATCACCAGGCCTTTAGTTCTTTAAATGTATTTTTAAATTGAAAAATGTCTCTCCATGGAACAAATTTTATACGTATGTTTAATATGTATCAGATTAGGCATTTTATGAATTTTTAATTATCAATAGACTCTAAAATATCAGTGTTTATTATTTTTAACAGGTTTTGTTTTATTATAAAAATATTTTCCGGGCCGGGCGGTGGTGGCGCACGCCTTTAATCCCAGCACTCGGGAGGCAGAGCCAGGTGGATCTCTGTGAGTTCGAGGCCAGCCTGGACTACCAAGTGA